TGTCCAGAACTAGGCCTATACTAATACATTCAACTGATTTTAAAATCAGTGTAAGTGAGCCCACTGGCTAAAATAAGTTTAACCAGTGTTGCTGGAGCAACTGGATATCCAAATAGGAAAACAGAAACTTCAAATCCTACCTCACTTCATGTACTTATGTTCCAGAAAATAACAACTTCCTCTAAGGAACTAATTTAATTTCTCTTTATGAACAACACATACGTAACTTCCAGTGTTTCTCACCTTGTCATTTTTGTTAAGCAGAATTCTGAAAATGGCCCCTCAAGATTCCTGTCCTTTAGTTGTTCAAGCAATCACTTACTTAGGTACTGCTGTGAAAGGAGATTGGAGATGTCATTAAGGCTACTACCTGACCTTAAGATAGTAGATTATCCTTAACTATTTGGCTAGGCTCAATGTAATCACATAAGCTATTTAGGAAAAGAGGAAGGCAGAAGAGTCATTCAGAGAGGTCAAACAAAAAAGGAACTTGAAGAGATCTGAAGCATGAGAGAAACTCAATCCACTATTTGAAGAGAACCACATGGAAAGCATCAGAAGGAATATGGACAGCCTCTAGGCGCCTCTAAGATCGACCTCCCAGCTGAAAGCCAGCAAAGAAACAAGGATCTTGGTTTTACAGTCTGCCAACAAGCTGAATAAACTTGGAAGTGGATCCTTCCCAGACTGTTCCAATAAGAGCCCAGTTGGCACACACCTTGACTTTGGTCTTATAAAACTCAAAGCAGAGAAACCAGCCTAGCCAAGCTAAACCAGACTTCTGACCTAAGAACTGTGAGATAATAAATCTGCATTGTTTTAAGTTGCTAAATGTTGGTAAGAATTTGGGCACCAACAGAAAATTGACATATTATTGACAACAGAAACATCAGAAACAGATTATAATTCAACTTTACACCATACATTCTTACCTATTTATTTGCCTGTATTCAAATTTAAGGCACTTTGTATAAAACCTATGGCCTACATTTCTCTATTCTACCTTTGTCTGAATCTTGATTTTATTGTCCATGTTTCTTTTATCTCAAATTTTGAAGTTAGGAATGTGTATATTTCCACTTAATAGTTATTTTTATTAAACCTCTGCAAATGCATCAAGAAGAAAGGCAAAATAGAACCTTGGTTATCTTCTTAGGAAAATGCCAGCATGTCTAAAGAATGGTCTAGGCTGTTGTCTTTTGATTCCGAACATGACAAGAAATCTCTGACCAAGGGTAGAAGAGACATTTCAGAGAGAGGTTAAGCTTTTAAAACTGTGACACTCATTTCCCCCCTCTTTTTTTTTCTTTTTTTTTTTTTTTTTTTTCCTTTTTGTCTTTTTTCGTGACCGGCAATGGATTGCAACCCTCAGTGTCGCATCCGTACCAGACCGGGACCGGCCACGGATCGCAACCCTCGGTGTTGCTCCCGCCCCTTGCTCAGCCAGTGAGCGGCCGGTCTGTATGTGGGATCCGAACCCTCGGCGGGAGCGCCGCCATGCTTCCCAAGCGGCGCACTATAGCAGTGTGCCACCGGGCCGGCCCTCATTTCCCCACTCTTGATGAACAAGGCTAAGGTTGAAAAAAAGAAGCCCTGAGAGATGAGACTGATCGGCATATATATTTACCAGGAATTTCTAGTCCTCTACCCCCACTCCTAAACATAGATGCAGAGAAAGTCAATGGGGACCTGGAGTATTTTCCCCCCTGTACAGGATCAGAGCCAGGCAATTTCTGGTGGGATGGCTAACACTGGACTTCTCTGAAGTCTGGCAGGTTCTAGAAATCTAGAGATCCAAGTTCTAGATGGGAAATCAAGACAATGTGAGTGGAATCTATAAATCTCAGCACCAGTGGTTATAGGTTCTAAAGTATGTATATCAAATTTCTTCATGCCTAAATCATCTTTTCATTTGTAACAGTACTGTTTACAATTTGCTCACTTAGTTCTCAAGGCACTGCATGGCAGATATTGTCCTGGAAGTCTTCTGTTTATGGAGAGGCAGTTGGTAAGAAGAGGCCAGTCCAGACACCCCATAGGACAGACACATAAAGAAGTTTCTTCTAGGGCCATGGAGGAGAGGCTCAGCAGAGCCAGGTTCAGTAAGACCCACACCCAAAATCCCCTCACAAGCCCCTAACACAGGATTCATCTAACCTGGTAAAACAGGAGGAACCAGGGCAAACATGTCCTGTGTGCCAACAGGATTCGGTGGAGCTGCTTCCCAAGCTAGTCACACAGCAGGACAAAGTCACAAAGAACCAATCGGGCCCAACTTGCCAGAGTCTTCCCTGGCAATGCAAACCACCAGAAGAGCTTGGAACTTCACCCAATTAAGGCCAATTCCCTCACATGCTGCTTATGGAAGCTCCGGAGGCCACTGGTTGGGGTTCTAGCTGGTACCCTCTTCAACAGTCACAAACACCCAGGGAGAATCCACTCCCATGATGAAAAATGCCCAAAAGCAGATGAACTTTGTCTCCCAGAAACCCTTGCAGAGACTAAACAGTCAAGACACACCAGCTCCCAAAAAGAAAGACAGTGGTTAGGCCTCCAGACTGCACTACCCCAAAACATTAGCAGCCCAGCACAGGTGTCTCAGGCGCTGCCCTGGACCAAACTACACTTCCCAAAAATCTCACCAGCCCCTGCACAGGAGCCTCAGATCCCAGAAAAGGTAAAGTGGAACTAGACACAAGGCAGCCTACACTCCCCCAATTTAGCTGAGCTCAGTTATCTTCTCCTCAGGTTACCTGGTCCCCATTCCTGACAATTGCCTCCTTTGGGCCCCTTCCTGGGAGGCTGAACATCCTGGGGACATGGGCTCCAGTGCCTAGAATGAGAGCCTCATCTGCCTCTTGTTCAGGTAGAAGAAATGCCACAGCAAAACATAATTTTTATAATCCACTTGATACAATCTTCTTGAAATATATGAAATATTTATAACAGCTGTTTTTAACATCTTTTCCTGCTAATTCTATCACCAATTCCACTTCTGGGCCTCTTTCTATTGACTTTTCTTCATGTTATGGTTTGTATTTTCCTGCTTCTTTGCATACATGAATAATTTTTTGTGTGTGTGAGTGGCCAGTAAGGGGTCCAAACCTTTGACCTTGGTGTTATAACACCGCATTCTAACCAACTGAGCTAACCAGCCAGCCCCTCTGGGTAAGTTCTGACTATATGCCAGACATTGTGAACTTTACACTATTGGCTGATGGATTTGCTTAATAGAAAGCAACCGATCTTTAATTATTGAGCTCTCCTCTGGGAAGCTGTTAAATTACTTAGAAAGTTTGGTCCTTTCGTGGTATGCAAATGCTTTTGAAGGAGGGTTCAAAACAGCCTTTAGTCTAGAGTTAATTTGAGCCACCCACTGAGGCAATACTCTTCTGAAAATCCACTACAATTCTCCAAATGTTAGGAGGTGTTTCCATTTCAGCTGTTGGAAACACAAATTATTCCCAACCTTGTGTATGTTCCAAAGATTGTTCTGCTTACTCATATGTAGTGGTTCTTTCTTAGGCCAGGGGAGTTTCCTCACATACATGAGCTGATTATGACTTAAAAGCCTGTGGGGGAACTCTCTACAGAACTCTGGAACTCTCTGAACACAGATCTCTCTTCTCCAGTAATCTAACCCATGAACTTGAGCCACCTTGAATTCCCTGCACTCTAAACTCCGTCTCAATTCAGAGAGACAGCTGGGATCTGTTTGGGTTCCTCCTTTCAATATTAGACTGGAATTCCCCAGTCAGTGAGGTGGGGAAACCATAAGGCTCCATTTGCTTCCTTTCTCTTTGAGAAAGTGGTCCTGAGCTCGCTATTCCCCACTGTCATTCATTCATATATTTTGTCTATGTTTTTAGTAATTTAAGATGGGAAGGAATATATATTTAGACATTAACTGTTAAAGAAAAAGAGGTTGTTGGAAATGGCTATAAAAAGATTGGTCAGTACTCAGGTGCATTAATGGCATATGCATTCCATACTCAGGATATGTTTATTAACACAATTTTAGAAAAGATATAAATTTATGTTTGGCAACATTTCAAGCAGCATAAATCTCATGTTATTTTAGGACCTTTAAGAGTTCTTTTCCAGTGCTGATAATTTTATTTACACATCTCAAAAGAATTCCATGATGTTTGTATCTAACAATCACAATGTAAGATTCTCTGATTGTAAAAAACAAAATCAATATTCTTGGACCATAATTACTATAAATAATTCTCTGAGAACATGCTTTTCCAAATTTATTTAATGGCTAGGTGGGAATTTACTGCAGCATGGATTCTCTGAAATCTAATGATGTAGTAGGCAGAATAATGGCAGCCCAAAGATGTCCACATCCTGATCCCCAGAACCCGTAAATATGTTACATTGTGTGACAAAGGAGAATTAAGGTAACAGACAGTTAAGATTATTAATCAGATAATTTTAAGACAGGGAGATTATCCTGGTTTATCTAGGTGTACCTAATGTAATTCACAAAGATCCTTAAACATGGAAGAAGGAGGCAGAAGAATCTGTTAAAGTGATGAAAGAGCTGACTGGCCATTGCTGGCTTTCAAGATGGAAGGGGTCCACAAGACAGAATTTGAGCAGCTCCTAGAAGCTGGAAGTGCAAGAAAACATTCACCCCTAAAGCCTCAGGAAAAAAAAAAAAAAAAAAAACTGGAAATGCATATATACAACATAAAACCATAAAACCAAACACCTCATTAAAATAAAAAAA